GACCTGAGCAAAACCAGAGTCCACTGGATGCTGTCCCCCTGAAGAACCTCTTTCTACCGTAAGTCATACACAGAGCAAGTGGTTATTTTTTACCCTTATCTACCCAGAAGACTACTGAAATGGAAAATGCTAAAACCTGTCATTCCAAACAGACAAACTTTATGTGCCAGAAACTCTATGAAGTCTACTAAGGATTCTGAAATCCTTCTGTAAGGAAAGCATTTGGGAGTAGGTGATGGAAGCAACAGCAGTCTGTTAGTTATGTTGTAAACTGCAAAAAATCAATTAAGTGCCATTTTTGTACAAATTAATCTCTGGTCCTTATCAGAGAAGCTTGCTATAGTTCATTACTCCAGCCCTCACTATATTTGAGGCATAAGGTAATATGGCACAAGGTGAGCTGCAGACTGAAGCAGGCAGAGTCCAAGATGTTACATAAAATTGCAAGCTTGCTTCTCCAGCACCTCTTCCCAACACAACTACATCTCAACAAGAACTTTAGCAGTGAGCTACCTTAGCGCACACACAAAAAAATCTAAGAAAAATTATATAAGTAGGAAGAATCTAAAGAAAAGGAGGCAAAAGGAAAGCCAGACTGTATGCACAGAAACAAGCCTGAAAGTACTAAGAGAAAAGAAACACACGGTGGAACTACTCTGCAAAAAGGAAAACCCCACATCCCAAAGCTGACATCTTCAGTCAACAAAATAAGTACTGAAGAATCACCTGTCCTGACTTTGTAACTGGTCTTTTAAGATGCATCTTCACTAGGTTCTCTAGGTACTTGAGGAACAATTGGTTACTTCCAAGACACTTACAGAATTTTCTACAGTGCAAAGCACAACAGAGTGGATGTCCCCAGATTCAAATTTCAGTTTTGTTTCCTATTATAGCTCTCCAAAATGTTAAGTTGCCAATGAAGTTGTCTTAAAGATGACCCATTACAATAACACTAGCAAACTTACATGTATTCCTTTAGAGATTCTGCTCCTCAGGCTATCTGCCAACTACGTGAAATGAATGATACGTTGTTACTATTTTTTTTTAATTGAAACCAAATTTATACCATTTTGGTTCCTCTTCAACCCCATATTTTGATATATGACACCATTTGTATATTTCTTTTCAAATCTAAAACTATTTTCTAGACTACCACTTAGAAGCACCACCATTAGTTCTTACAAGAAATTTCTACATACCTTTGTTTTCCTTTTTCATCCATATTTTGATCTTGTATTAGGTCTCGACGTGTTCTCTCTTTGGAGGTAGCAACAACAGAAGATGGCAACGCAGGCTACAACAGCAACAACAAAAACTACTTAGTTCATGTTCCAGGTAAGCATGTTTTTTTTTTTTCTTTTCTGTACAGCCCCCTGTCACCTATTACCTTTTTAATATCATCATCCTCTGCGTCGCTTTCTTGGCGTGATTCTCGTCTTGTCCGGCGTTCTCCGCCCAGCCTTGAGAAGAAAAAGCATTAGTCGTCATTGGAAAACATATTTTAAGGACAGCACCTATTCTAACAGTAGAAAATACAAGTCAGCATGTATAGTTAGTACAACCAATGATTCCAGTAAAATCTGTCATTGGAGCAGCGAGGAGGTAAGTAGAGCTTTTGCAGACAGAATCTATTGCTGGTGTTAAAAAAAAAAAAAAGATTGTGACAAATGAGAAAAAATGGTTTAACTCTTGATCTAATTTGCATAGTAAAGTTAAAAAAAGGAAGAGCCCACATTATGACCGTATTTAACTTTTGAATAGTTCCCTTTTTCTTTTTTTCCAGAATCTCTAAAATGGTTATTTGTGTAAGGAAAATGTAAGAAGTTTTTAAATGTATTAAGATAAAGAGGTCAGTATGATTTTTTTCAAATTCAAAATGCTACTGAAATTATCTAGCTGAATACCTGGAAAATGGGTTAGGGCAGACAGAGAACTTAGTTGGGAATTGAGTACTTGGAAAAGCTGAAGTTTTTAAACAAAGAACAACAAGACAATCTGTAAGTAAAAGTTATTTTCAGCCTTCATTCTCATCTTTGTGGCATAGCCCTTTATTACTGGTAAAGCCACTTCAAAATATTCATTTTGTATAACTCAAATTCAAAAGCAAGCCTTGCTTTTTCAAGAACTACCATTGCATGTAAGTGGTCTGAGAATGCAATTCACTATAATCAAAGCCACAGTCGATGGATTTGCATCCAGTTGTGAAAGCTTGAAATCTGAGTCTGTTGTCAAACTGTATGCATTAAGGTTAGCAAAAGGGAAACCTCAGTAATGATTCGATTTGTGTCTACTGTACAACAAATCCAGGCTACTAAGCAAAATGTAAGCAGATGGTACACCAAGTAAAACAGAATTCCGTAAGTTTTTAATCACGCTGTTAGAATCTGGCACTTAGTTCCATAAGTATATTCAGAAAACTCTACCCAATACACTACAGCCTGCAACAAAAAGGTCTAGTTAAAGGGGGAGTTATCTGTAGGAAGGACAAGGGACAAAAACTGCTTTACCACTGCATTAGAGAAAGTACACAAGAGAAAAGCACTCTTCATTAAAGCAAGTGGAAGATTTTAACACCTTTGAATTTTGAATCTATTATAAACACACAAAGCTCTTGAACTCCCCACACGGTTCCCTCCCCCAGTGATTCTAAAGACAGCACAAAGCCTTGAATCTGGTGCAAACTAAATTGTGCATTTACGCCTCATCTCCATTGTGCAAGAATATTTTAATTATTATATCTGTATATTGACACTCTAATCTCTACATTACTAAGAATCTTTATAGTGCCATAGGATTTGGAAAGATTTCACCGTAGACAATTGCTATAATCAAAAAACATTTCTCACACGTCTTTTACTGTCTTCAAAGATCACGTGTTAAAGTCAGCAGTTATAAAACATTTAGAATTAAGAACTGCTATTTAAGTTTACTGCTATAAACTCTCATTCTAATAACACAAGTTCTCTACATCAGTTTTTGCACCTACCTACTGGATGCGCCTTCAAGATCCCTCTGTTTGGCTGGGGGTCCTCCTCCACTGTCCGAGAATCCACGCCTAAAAAAAACCACTCCTGATCTCAGAACAAGCCGTAAGTTTTACTCAGCTCTGTAATCACATGGCAATTGCTACAATAAAGTATTTAAACATAATGTTTGTTGATAAACTAATTTAAATTTGAATTTCTACCATCAGAGAAGCAGCTCCATTAGATTCAAGTATTCCCATTTGTAAAATTTCACAATTATGACCTATACAACAATCTAATGTTGAAATTTAACAAAAAAAAAAAAATCCACCACATAAAGCATTAAGTAGTCATCCCTGACCAAAAATCCGTCCTTCATTCTCACTCTCCTGGGGGTGGAGAGGGAGGAGGAAAAAATGGAAAATCCACAACAAAACACAAGTGCTTTTACCGTCACTGCTTTAAAATTTCTGTTGATTTTAACTCTTTCTATTCTTCCTAGAAAACCTACCAGTTCCTTCATTACAGAAATGCATCAAACAGACAATGTCCCAGATACCCCACACAATGCCCCCCTTCATTTCGAAGTTCCACCCCAATTTTCAGGTAAAGGGCTGAAAGCTTAGGGAAAAACAGGCGTTCAGAACTGGTACTGGTGCAACTCAGAATGAGAGGATCCCTTAAATTTCAGTGCATGATACAAAACTCCAAATGCCCTTGGAGGCCTCCCACCCAGCTTTCACGCCCGCTTGCTAAAACACCGACTCTTCAGAGCTCACAACGAGCAAAGGGAACAGGGGAGAGAGCAAACCATCGCCGCAGGGAAGGATAAAGGAACCCGGCGGCCGCCTCCCGCGGCTCCTTACCTTAGCAATAAGCTCCCTCGCCCTCTACCTCCACCAGGGCCTGAGAGGGCCAGCAGTCTGTTCTGAGGGGGCCTGTGGGAGACAGCACCGTCAGCGGGCTCTGCCCGGGAGCCCCCCGGAGACCCTCCCTCCACAGAACCCGGGGGGAGCGGGCAGCGGGGCCTCCCCGGGACCCCTCCTCAGGCACCCCCCGGGCGGCCCCTCACGGAACCCCCCTCGCTCGCCCCCCCCCCACAACCGGGGGTACCCCTAAGCCCCCCCCCCTCACCGGGCCGCCCCTCAGGGACCCCCCCCACACACCGGGCCGCCCCCGGGCCCCGCTCACCTCACATCGTTGGGGTCCCTGCCCGTGAGCTTGCGGATGTTCTCATCGACGTGCTTGAGGCTCTCCTTGGCCTTCTCGAGCTGCTCCTGCAGCGCGCGCACCGCCACCGCCATCCCGCCCGCAGCGCGTCGCGGCCTAACCGGGGCCCAGCGCGAGGCACCGCTGGGTAACGGGGAGGCCCCGCCCAGGCCGCAGGGCCCGTCCGCAGCCAATAGGAAGGCGTAAGGGGAAAGGGAACGCCCCTCGGGGAAGGCCCGCCGCATGCGCGCACCAATCAAAGGGCTCGGAGGCGGATTGACGGAGCGGTGAGCCAATAGGAGGAAGGCTCATCTCTCCAGCTCTACGAATCACCGAGCGGGGCCCGCCAGAGCGACGTCGCTCCCGGCTAACGAGAAGCACCAACGTCACTTTCCCGTGGCGGGGGCCAATCGCCTCTCCCCTTGAGAGGCCGCCGTGCCGGGCGAACCAATAGGCGCGGGCGTTACTGAAGGGCGGCCGCGGGCGGGCTGGGGCGCAAGCCCTGGCAATGGCGCTGCGGTGCGGGCTGCGTGTCCGCGGCTCGGCCCGGCCTCAGCGCCCCGTGGGCCTCGAGAATCCGTTTTTGAGCAAATCACCCCCAAATCACACACAAAAATAATAAAAAATATGAACATAAACTTTTTTTAATTAATAATAAAAAGCGGTCTCTGTCTCTGACTCCCGATCCCGTCAGCAGCGGGTTCCCCCCGGGGCTCCGCGCCCCGCTCGCTGCCCCCTCACAGCCCCGTGCCCTGAGGCGATGCCGGCGGCGGGCGATCGGCTCCGCTTGGGTCCGGTCCGGCCGCGGGGCGGCGCTGGGGAGGCCGGGCGGCAGCCGGAAAGGGCAGGGCAGGGCGGCTCGGCTCGGCTCGGAGGGGCCCGGCAGCGGCGGTGGCGGCGGCGGAGCCGTTGCCGTGGCGCCGGGTGCGTGTGAGGGGGGAGCGGAGATGGCGGACGAGACGCTGTTCCTGCTGCTGCACAGCGAGATGGTGGCGGGGCTGTACCGTGCCGCCGAGCAGGGCGAAGGGGTGAGCGGGGACGGGGACCGCCTGAAGGGACCGGCCGGCGGCGGGCGGCGGCGGGGAGCCCGGGGCTGACGCCTTGTGTCTTGCAGGAGAACGGGCGCTGCACCACCAAGCTGGAGAGCATGGGCTTCCGCGTCGGGCAGGGGCTGATCGAGAGGTGAGCGAGGCCCCCGCCTGCTTTCTGCCCCGTTCCCCCTCAGCCTGCAGGGGCCAGGAGCTGCCCGCTCCCTGCGACACAGCGAGGGTTGGGCTGTGCACCTCCTGACACCTCGCTCCTGCTGGCGCCCCTGCTCGTACACCACATTTTTTATGTATTTCTGTCATGAAAGCAATCACACAGGGTTCACGGTTATTTATAATCCTTTATAAGTGCAGTTTTTCTTTGTAGGCCTAGTTATTCGGCGTGTTTCCTACTTCTGGTAGGATTTTTTCATGATTTTTTCTCTTTTTAACATAATTTAATGAATGGCTACACCAGGATTTTCTTTTCCTAAAGCACTCGGTCCTTGGAGCTTTGTGACAACCTCCTCAGCTCCCTGGGCCCTTTTGGGGTGCATGGTGACTTGCTGCACACCTCACTTCAGTGCCCTTGGTCAGGGGTTGTGTAGAGGATCCCGAGCTCCTGAAGTCATTTTTTCCTTGACCAAAGTGAAGCTTTAGTGCCACATGAAGATCCTCAAGGAGGATGCAGGGGGTAAATTCTGAAATGAACAAGGGAAAGGGATTGTTTTTTAGGAAACTGGAACAGGTTTTACTTGTTTGTTCCTATGTCTTAGTGCTTCTTTTGGTATTGAAGGAGCCCTTCCACACAGTAGTGGAGGCCTGAGCTGCATATTTCGATAGTTAGTTGAAGATAAACATTATGAAGTGTTCTCCGTCTTTCTGCACTTCAGCTGTCTTTAATGATCATGTAATTCAAACACATCTTTTCTGTTGTATTGCTGCAGATATTAAGATAACACCTTGTTACTCTTAAATTATTATACATGATGAAAGCTGAGCAATGCTAGAATGACACTGTCAAGTTGTTGAGTGTACCTTCATTACTGATATGTTTCTTGCTTCTCTCTTAGGTTTACAAAAGATACTGCCAGATTCAAAGATGAATTAGATATTATGAAGTTCATTTGCAAAGATTTTTGGACAACTGTATTCAAAAAACAAATAGATAACCTCAGGACCAATCATCAGGTACAAGTAATATAGAATATTTCAGTGACAAAATCAGTAAGACTGTTTTGAGTTACTACGGCATTTTGTGTTTGTCTTGCTCTAAAACTAATTACCTGATAAGAAACCCCAAATGTTCTTTATTTATATAGATTTTTAAAAAGCATTTGTTAAGGTTCATGTTGGTGTATAGTTGGAGAATACAATTTAATAATTGCTTATGATTTAGTTATTGCCACTGTTTGAAAAGACTAAATGCTGTCAATTTCATATGTACCGTTGTGGAGTTAGAAACTGACAGGACAGTAATGCTTACAGTTAATTAACACATACAGGAACTTTTTCATGCATCTCCCAATACACTTCAGTAGAAAACCAGTGTGGGAAAATGATATTGCTGCCTCAACATGCATTTAAATAGGATGGATTGCATTTAAATGCATTTAAATGGCCACCTTTAAGTCATTTTTATTTTGAAGAATATTTTCATTTTTCAGTGGTTAAGATACTTAGTTATACACTGCTGAATATGCTGAATATAACTGTATACAAAACAGCTGAAAAACTTTCCAAGGTTTGCTTGTTGGTGATGTTGATTGGAAAAATGCAGACTACACATTACTGGATATTCTACTAAAAACTTTTTTTTTTTAAACAGGGTATTTATGTCCTTCAGGATAATAAATTTCGACTCCTGACACAAATGTCTGCAGGAAAGCAGTATTTAGAACACGCACCAAAGGTACCCTTTATTTTTATCCTTAGGATCTATGAGTTTAATTTGAATAATCTTGATTTATTAGCTTGAAATTTTGTAGTTGGATGGATACAAACTCTCCAAAAGGGAGGCTGAAATTAAATCCTCAAAAATCTTCAAAAATGTGTTAATTTTAGAAATGCACCTTGTTTCAGAACAGTGTTTTTGATCTATGGTTCAGTAATAGCAATTTTGAAACTTGCTGTTTTCATGTTTGAGTTACTTGATGGTGGGAGCTGGCTTGACTGCAAGTGGAAAGTCAGTGAACTGGTGTTTGTATTTTGCATGCAGTTAGGGGAGAAACTTCTGCCACTGTCACAATGCACTGATAGAGGATAGCAAAACCTCCATAATTTTATATGTCAAAATGTTAAATCTTCAGTTAATCATTACTTAGTTCCAACCTTTTGCAACAAGCTTCACCCTTCAAACTTCTTTAAAATGTGACTTTTTATTTAGTTTTTAGCATTTACCTGTGGACTAATCAGAGGCGGCCTATCGAATTTGGGAATAAAGAGTATTGTAACAGCTGAAGTTTCATCAATGCCTGCATGTAAGTAGTTCTCAGTATTCAGGTTATTAGCTCACTTGGTAACTTTCCTTACTGACTTGATGTCTGTGCTTTACTGTTACAATAACACTGATGGATGGTGAACCTCCATGACACTAAGTGGAAAACCAAATTTAAAAGTTGTGTTCGCATTTGGAAGCATCAGATACGTAAGGGTACTGGAGGCTACTGGAGTAATTGAAGAGAAAAACAACTAGATACGTGCTTTTTATTTACAGAAATCATTAAGAAGGGTAGTAACTGAAATCTGTTGTGACTACACAAGCTGATTAAGATGGATTTGAAAATTTCTATAGGCTTAGCAAAAAAAATATAAACTTAGCTGACAAAACTGCTGTAGTGTGGGACATGCAACAACTTAAAAAAAAATTGTTCAATAAGAGCTGATTTTAAATGTTAAATTTAAATCATGGCTAGATATTTCACAACTGAGCTGTAAGAATTAAATGTTCTGTAGTATTTTTTTAACAAAATTGTTATAAGGTATTAATCACTTGGAAAAATAAATCTAATGTTGATACTTTGATCCAACTTGGCTTTTTCTTTGCAGGTAAATTCCAGGTGATGATACAGAAGATGTAGGGCACATTCAAATCTGGGTATCTACTTTAAAAATCCTTTGTCTGTGGTTTTGGTATCTTGGTTCAGCTTTGTACATAGCTTGTAAATTATAGCAATGTGCAGGAGAATTCCCAAGTATATAATAAATGTTCATCAAAATAATTTAATGCTATCCTCGTATCTTGGTATGAAATCGATTTTATACCAAGGTATTAATGTCTATCTGGGTAAAAACTGTCTACTCAAAAGTTTTCAACAAAAGATTTCTGTTACCAGAACAGACCATGGGCACGTTTTAAGAACTGAGTAAGAAAAACAATCAAGACCCAATTGGAAAAAGAAACTGTGTTTTGTGTCACCTTACATGAATGCCAAACTGCTGCCTTTGCACGTGCACTCCTAACTGTGAGGCAGTGATTGCTTTTTTATTATTATTCTGAGGAAGCAGTTATTGCTACAGCCTTCATTAATGGTGCTCAATGGAGGATTAGTTCTTTTATAGGACTTCCATAGGGCAGTAGGAAAGAACACTTATTTCAACAAAAATAACAGCATATCCCCCCTACCTAAAAATCTGTTTTTTGCATCAGAACTTTACAGACAAGGTCATCTACTACTCAGCAAAGACGGCAATTTGTTTTAGCCTGTTGTGCCTAAATTCAATATTAACATAATTGTTTTTAATTGCTAGCTACAACTCACTTCTGTAATGAGTGTGTACAGGAAGATGATTAGGCCTGCAAGAAGCTGTAAAGACATCACCAAGACTCTTGAGGATATTGGGGTTTGCTAGATACTACTTGTTACAAGATTTGTATAACAATACGTGTCTTGCTGTAGGTAAGCATGAAAACATCTTGTTTAAACTTTTTAATGAATTTTGCTGTAAGGCTTTTCTGCTGGCAGGGTCAGGACTTATACTTTCAGAAATGTGAGAATGCCTCATGATACTGAATCAGTTTCTGCTTTGAGACCAGTAACTAACAGGATAGTTATAAAATAATATATTTGAACAACACTTTTGTCTGTTTTAACTACCTTCTGTGTTGGAATAAGTGTATGTTGTCCAATTGCATGGTTGGGCAGGAACAGTGGAAGCTGTTCTTCCTTAATCTCTAAGGGAGGTCTGAAGTTTATAATGAATTGATCTTTTTCCAGATAGCTGTTACAAGCTGTGTATTATAAACATGATAATCAGGGGCTTATTATACTTGAGCTTAATATGTGACCAAGTTCTGATCTTTTCATGTACTGTGAATGCTAGTTCAGAATAGTTATAACTGAAAAATTTGACAGTTTGGAAACATCTGAAGGAGAACTCAGTCTGTCCCACTGTTTATAGACCTAGCAAAGATAAGAGTAACCAGGGATCAGCCGTGTGAAAATACGGGGCTCTTATAGGGGTAGTTTACAGGAAGGCTGTGGTTGTTGTCCACCTGAATGTTGTCCACATTCAGATTTGTTTGAAATTATAAGGCTTGAAAATTAGCTAATTCTTGCTGAGTGCATTTAATGGGTTCTTCAGTTGCCAACTCACCCTGCTTTTAACATGCTACAACTATTACTAAAGGGACTAACTTGCTACTGTGCCTAATAGATGGACACTTCAAAGGCCCATTTTAGGCCTATGCAACATGGTAGATATTCAGTATCAACACACAGAATCATTTTGTAATTTGCTTCTCCAGAATTAAAACTCCTATAGTTGCTATTAATGCACTTTAATTTTTCACTTGATAGTTGAGATTACTGTGAACAATGCCAATAATTTCAAGATGCATTAAAGGTTTATCAATAACATGTTGTGCTTAATGAGATCTGTCTTTTTTAAATAGTCAGGGACTTAATTGACATCTGCTTCCTGTATATTGTGAAATTCAATTCTGTATAGTGTCTGCTGTTACTAGCAGAATTCAGAGTTCTTTTACCTTGGATTTTACCAGAAGCAGATGCTGATATTCTTGGCAAATCACTCCATGTTAAGTATATATGAAGTCAAGTCAAAATGGTGAGCTAATATGTTTGTCAAGATACTAGACAGAAAATAAATTTGTTCCTTCTGTTTAATAAATGCTTCTATTAAAGAGCACTGAATACAACTGTGCTGTTTTCCCAGGTTTCTGTAGCTGTTTACTAAGAAGTAATGAGTATTATTACTCAAGAAGTCTTTTATATTTTACTAAAATAATTGTTTCAGTAAGTCACTGGCTATAGTTGAACTGCTTGGCAGAACTTAAGCTCAGGAACTGATGCCTGAAAAATCACATTTAGTCCCAGTTGTGTAGGTTTTTATACTAAGGCAGTTTTTAAATACTATGAAGAATGAGAACAGCCACAATATTTAAGAACACTTAAAATATGCTTCAGTTTTATTAAAAAAGCCCTTGAGGGGAGTGTGTTAGATAAAGAACATTAATCTGTAATGTAACATCTTTTTTTTTAAACTTAGAAGTCTTTATCTAAGGCAGTGTCCACAGGAACACTCAGATGGTAGAAAATCCTAATGGAGAATGCAGTTTACTGAGACAGTAGCTTGAGAGATGACGACAAACACTTCACTGACCATTTTATGATGATGATACTGGAGATACAAACAATCTCATGCTAAAGATCAGCTTAAGTTATTCTTAGCTGTGCCAAATATGTTGTTACATTGAGGGTGTTCTGAAGGGTTTGTATTGTACTTCAGGTTTGATCTGCACAATGTCTGGTAATGCTCTTTATACCACAGCAACACAAAATAGTTGGTATTCCAAAAACAGTCTAGGAGGGTTCATCAGCTAAATCACGTTGATCAAAATACCTAGTGGAGAGAAATGGAATATGGTGAGAACCTCTAATGCAACTTACTCCTTACTTTGCTTTGAGCTGTTAGACTGCTTGCTTTCTAGGTCTTATTTTTCCTGTCATATTTATAGCTTCATGGTTCAGGGAGCTCATCCAAGGAAACTGACCGTTTTACTTAGCTTCATTTTACCCTCAGGTTTAGCCTAAGTCCTTTTAGCTAAGTATATTTGCTACGTACGCCCAGAGAACTTGGGTCGACTTCCACTTTAAAAGAATCTAGGTTAGGCCAAGGGTAATCACACATTCATTCTGGACACACGTTTTAGATCTGTAACTTGCATTACCTGCTAACTAAGCAGATTATCAAGTTCAGAGCAGATACTTGCTCTTCGGTCTTGTTCTCCTGAAAGAGAAACAAATACCAAAACAGTTCTGCTGATAACCATGTCCAATAGAAAAACAGTTATCCGCTGTGTTATGTGCTTGTAGTCATCCCTTCATTTTCAAGCAGGTTTCAGATGTGAGAAATTACTTACCAAGACTTGAAAAACGTTTTCTTAACAGTTTGCTAAGTTGAAACAGTCCTCTGCACAACATTAAATCTTACCTCTAGTACTCTGACTTCGGAGCACCGTCTTGCCAGCTGTCGAATAAGGGAGTGAGCTTCAGGTAGCAAAGGCTTTTCAAGGCATGCCAACAATGCATAAAACCACCTACCCTGTGTGAATTTAAATAAGAAATTTTTAATTACAGGTATTTTCTTAAGTTCTACACAAGGAAACTTGTTATACGTAGCAGGTCTGGAGTGTAGATCTCAAAAACCTGAGTCTGAAGATTCCTTTAAATGTTGCCAGAACTGAAGAGTTTGAAAGCCAAATTAGAGACTGCAGAGTAGTGTCTTGTGTCTGTAGATAAGCTTCTTGTGAACAGTAGTCCTGGATTTCCTTCTATTTTTCTGGCGTAAGATATAAATTAATACAGCTTCCGCTATGAATCTAAAGCAAGCATTTAGTAATATCTAAAGATTATTACATAGCTATTAAATTTTAACTTCACAAGCTATAGAAAAATATTCCTGAAGAGTGAACATATAAAGTTAGATCTTTACGGTATTAATGCTGTTAGGTCAGACTTACGATTTATACCACTGTGAAAATGTATTCTTTGCTTTTTACTTGACTGAATTTTACGGCATCCCTGCAAATCTAAATTCTGCCAGTCTAACTTCTTAAACTAATTCTAGTGTCCAGTGGCTCTCATTATGAGAATAAACTAAGAATCAATGTGTGCATCCTCTGCAGCATATTGGTCACTAAAGACAGAACATGAAAAGGTTTTAAGTAACTCAAAAATAGTGAAACTGTGTTTAGTATTATCGAAGTAATTTTTTATTACTCATTTACTTTGTGGTACTAAATGAGATGCACCTACCAAGGTCTTTTGTGGGTAAGATGACATTACACAGCTAGTTAATCTAGTTTTGGCCAACTACATGGTACTGTACCTAATCATTCTTTTTTTTTTTTTTTTTTTTTTTAAATTAGATTTTAGATTGGATCTGTTTCCATGCTAACACAGATAAGCTTTCTGGTCTGTGCTGCACATGGGAAGACTAAATGCATCTCTTCCTGCAGACTACCATGCATCTCCCAACTGTAAAATGGAGGTGTTGGCAAATACAGCGTGCAGCACACTGACAACTTAAATTGGTCAGACCCAAAGCTGCTAGACTCTGGCCCTCTTCTCTCCACAGCACTAATACTCCTCTGACCTTGAAGATTAGGTTAGTGTGGAAAACAAATGAAAAGGAGGGGTTTTAGCAATACCTAAAGCATCCAAATCTGTTGTGTTTTGAATTAGCCTTCCAAAAAGTTGTGTGAATGTTCAATCTAGTATCAAGTGAGTTTTGAAAGCAACTGAATACAGTACATCCATCTAGAGATCTCTTTAGAAAATAAAACAACTTCAGGGAAAACAATGCACAATTTATCCCTTGTTTAAAGCAATCACATGCAAGTAGTTAGAATAAATTAAATAGTTACCAGTTCAGGAGTAAATTTTTTCTCTCCAAACCAGATTATCAGGTATTCTAAGACGCTGGTTACTGTTGCCTTCAAAAGAGGAACAGAAAGAGACAATCTAATACCTGCAAAGTTTTGTTTTGCTATCCTTCTACCCAATGGATTATACTATATAAAAACAACCATGATTTTTGTCTTTAAATATGGACATTATACATTTCCACTTAAATGTAATTCTATATGGTATTTAGTTCAGGTTGAAATTAGACATAAGGGTGAAGCAAGTGTTATAGCAGCAGTTCCTGAAAAAAGCTTTTTGAAAAATAAAGACCTTTATATAAAGCAATTTTCTGTGTTAATAAGAAGTTATGGATAAATAACTACAAATTAGAAAAAAAGACAGACTGACCCTTTCTCTGTAAGGGTGACTAGTGAGCAACATAGTAAATGTGTTTCTTCTAGTCTTGCAATGTATGTTAGAGTTGACAATCAGCATGAAGAACTGCACTTAAAACACTAAAGGAGAAATCTTAAAATACTGTAAGCCCCTAAAGGGGCATTCAGCAGCAGTTCAAACACTAAAATGCTCTATAGAGCAATTACAGCAAGAAAATAGACTTACAACCATTCATGGTACATGTTCACTAGTAAAATTGTTTGTGGTTAAAGGTGAGATCAAGTGTTTTCATTGCAAGTGTACATTGAATAGCAGTTATAATAAACAATTACTTCCTCTAACACCGGAAAAAATAGGTAAGATTTATGCAACAGATGGAACATAGGAAGTAATAATTTAGGCCACTACGCTATTCTAAGAGGGAGCCTTACCTGATTCATTCTGCTTACAATACTTAGCAAAGGAGGAAAGCCCACCTGAAAAATAGTCAGGTTGGAAACCATTTATAAGAACATTTCTGTATTTTAGTTCTAAATTAAAACAAAAATAACATTTTAATGTGACAATCAGACATTTGTAAAGATTTTGAATTCTATTCTGAGCTTTGATATTTATGAAAAAAATATTCAAGCAAGTTTAAGATAAGGTCCAATCAAATTTGATATCAAAACACTGCTTTTGCTGTTATTTTTTTTTTAATTTTTTTTTTTTTTTTAAAGAAAGATGCAGTGAAGGGCGTGTTTATAGAGTAGCATGTCTGAGGACAGGAACCACACTCAAAAAAACACTAAAGCAGACTGTGGAAAAAGCTTTCCATTCATGTCAGTTAGCAAGAAAGTAGTGTGTTTTAGCTGGGAACAGATGAGGGAACTCTTCCTACATCTTGACTGAAGGGATAGACTTTTTCTCTGCTTCACTCTGCTTCCACTTAAAAGGGAAGAAAAATGGGTCTTAACTGGGCTTGCAGGATGGTCTGCCTTTTACTTAGCACAAATTGGTAATAAGCAGTAGCATTGTTCCTGGTAGTTAATTTGTGAAAGTAGCAGCTGAAAATTAGATGGAACTCCTATACTCACCTTCATGTAATCAATTCCTAGATTTTCATTATCAGATAGTGACTCTATTTCTGAGTAGACTCTTTCACCCAGGCAAAACTTCTTCCATCCTTCTTCATCTTCTAATTTTGGCTGAAGTAAATAAAAATAAATTAAAACTGTGAAATATTGTTGACTTGAAGACACCGAAGAACTAACATGGTAATACTCACAAGCTGTTGCATTAAACAGTACAGCAAGATTAACCAAACACAATTAAACTTAATGACTAGAAAAAACACAGAACTGTTAGGAATTCTACTCACCATATTAACATTGCTGTCCAAATGTTGTGACCGCCAGTGACTTCTGTGCTTGTTCAGACTCTGAGTAATTAAAACAAAGCCAAATCACAGTTTAACTTTACAGTTACTATCTCCTAGCCATAATTGCTCTTCATTGTTCTTAATCTTCATAAAGAAGTATTTTTATGGTGTTCTATACATCATTAAAGGCAGTACTGGCTAAATATTCCTCAATCTTCTTAATATAAATGTAATTGTTACTTGTACAGGCTTTTTTGAAGTAATGTTAAAGCTGAAGGATTTTTTTAAGACTACTGCATAAAGCTTTAAATTGAAGTAGTAAGCTCTACTAGTCTAACAGATTTTTCTTATGCTTGTTATTACCAAAAGAAAAAAAAATGGATTAGTCAAAGAGCAAACAAAGCTAATAGCCTGTTTCGAACAGTGCTCTGTATCTGATGCCTACTGAATTGCGAACTATATTCCTTGTATATTTCCACTGACAGGGATGCCATATAAAACAAATTAGGACGTTGAAATTGGCCTGCCTGATGG